CTGTCCGCTCCACAGCTCCGGATATCACTCTCTTCCTCCACCCTGACCATGCACTCTGAGTGACCGGCCCTGTCCTCATAGTGAACAGCACCAACCATCCCACAAACTGCTTCAGCTGGTCACTTACATGCAAAGGTTCCCAACGGCTGGGCTGTGGAGCGGTACCGGGCCGAGGACCGCTTGCACAAAAAATGCGTCAGTGAGCGTTTGGGAATTACAGCCTAACTGCTGAAACCCACTTTTTCATGTAATTAATATTATTGCAATTGTAAAATGTATTTGAGGCTCGTCCCATAAAACGCAATGGAATTCTACACATATCAACACATATCACATCTGTGTCTGACCTGTACGTGTAGGTTGCTCTTGGCTGCTGAATGTTAGCGTAAGTAAAGAAGAAAGAATGTAGAAAAGACCTACAGTAGCTCTGTCCAAAGAAGATGTGTTCAGAGGAGAATGACCAGAAGAGTCATTTCACCAAATATTCACCAATTTAGGGAATTTTATCTTCCTACAACATCCAGCGCATCCCAAAAATACATTCGATGTAGCATTCTACATCAAGTTTAGCTGCTTATCTTTTTGCTGCCTTCCATAATAGAAGCAAGTACAAATGAGTGGATTTAGTGGGGCATGATTAATTCATATCAGTTACTGAATAATATGCCTCAACATTAATAACTCAATAAAAGCCTGTGCAAAAGTCAGAGACCACCCTTCAGTTACTTAATTTATAGTCAAATCTGACATGAAGCACTTTCTTTTTAGGATATATTTCTGAGGAGATATAAGATGCATAAGGAAGGAGAAAAGTCAAAGAAAAACTTGGTAAGTTTAAAAAAGTGGAGTCCAGAAAATGGGACTCCTGACAACCGTGCGAGACTTAGTAGACACCAAAACTGTCCCCATCAGATAAACAGCACTTAAAGCTTTCATCTTTGAGAGAGAGGAGAAAATCAAGCTGCTTCAGATCTGAAAACATCCACAGGTGTTTCTGTCCATCCTTCCACTGTGAGAAGACGACTCTATGGGTCTGAAAGGATGTGTAGCTGTCAAGAAGCCTCACTGAGAAAAGGAGACAGACAAGAGGTTTGCACATCTGAGATGTGGAGTGAGGGATTATGGACTGATGAGTCTGGGATTAACTGGACAGCGAGAAGCAGAAAATGCAACCAACTTCTGAGACTGAACTTTGGAGGTGTGGGAAAATATCCCTGAAAAATCTGAAACAAAATCTCCTGAAAAGAATGTTTTTTCTGTTATATATATATGTGTGTGTGTGTGTAAGAAAGAAAAAAGCAGAATACATGTATATATATATATGCTAGGAAATTACATAAATGAAAAGTGGTCTCTGACTTTTGCACAACACTGCTCTTTCTATTGTGTCAACACACCCTAAGCAGGGCGTGTGTGTATGGTGGAGGGACCAAGAGAAAAGGGAGAGGAGAGAGAGAGAGAGAGAGAGAGAGAGAGAGAGAGAGAGAGAGAGAGAGAGAGAGAGAGAGAGAGAGATAAACAGCTTTTAGTGCTGTTCTCACAGCTATTTCCAAGAGTACTGAGGGTTTTTAATAGCGCCAAAGCAAATCTCTCACATCATTTCATGCTCATAATCTAAACTGACTCTCTGGTTGATTATAATGACAATAATATGCACTATGATCTGAATAATAACTCCAGTTCCCTGCTTAAAATGCACAAATGTGCAACTGGAGACCACAAATTGGCTCTGAACTTGCAGCGATGCACTTTTGCCACTTTCAGTCACTCACACTCTATAAAAGGGACTAAATTTAGACATTCAGGATTTAAATATCAAATTAGGGTCCAAACTTTGCAGAAATTAGCAATTATTTTCATATTTCCACACAGAACACATACAGCTGTATGCAAATGTTTGTGCGCCCCTGGACAAAGGACGTGTTACACCGGTTTTATAAATGTCCTCTAAGACACACAGAGAACACTTCTGCACATTTTAATGCACAATTACTGTTTATCTGCTGAATTTAACACATTGGGAATAAAACATAAAATGTGGTTGAAGTTGTTGAAAGTAGGGCATATTTTATATTTTTTACGTTTTTTTTTCAATATGTCACTATGTTACACTGTTACAAATACTTAGAAATTGTGCATTAAAACGAGCAGAAAATATCATATTTAAGTGTGTTTTCTGTAGAGCAGGGGTCAAAAACACGACGCTCTTTTAGTCCTCTGTTGTGGCTCCACAGCAGAATTAGATTATTAGGTAAAAATAAAATAATCCTCCTTTGCAGTAAAATAAAGCTCTGCTGATCGTTCAACACAGTTTTAACACTAAATGGTCTTAAACAATGGAGTTAATGCAGAACTGCTAATCCACCCTTTAACCCTGAAGGTTGGTGCACAGACTGCTGGTCACCATAGCAACACAGACAACCTGGCCTAGCTAGTAGCTAACGGAAAGGCAAAGAGAGAGATTTAAGACGAATATCGATAATTCAGAGACGAATGGACTTGTTTGCATTTATAATCACTCCAGCTGGTTTCCTGATACGTTTAATCGGCAACAAGAAACTGTCAAACACTAAAAAGTTGCAAGGCTGAAGTCGCTTCTTATTCGCCAGCTTCTTGTTCAGACTGTCCCATTCCACCTTAAATGGTGCTGCAGTTACATTCTGGTGCCTCAGGCACCATTTAAGGTGGAATGGGAAAACACAAACAAGAAGCTGGTGAATGAGAAGCGACTTCAGCCTTGAAGTTGAATGTTGAGGAACATTTTACAAGAAACTGTTCTACTTTTGTGGAAAAGTTTCCTACAGAGATTCAAGAAACAGCGGATACAGCTGAGCTAAAGCTTAAAGCAGAGCAAAGTAAGTCTGCATTTTCATTTATTTTATATTTTTTAGCCTATACTAAGACATTATCACATACTGAGACATATTTACAGCCAAGATGGTAAAATGGACATAAAATGTGGCTCTCAAGGTGGTTTGATTTTTTGTTGAAAGGACAAAATGGCTCTTCTTACCACTTGAGTTGTGACCCCTGCTGTAGAGGATGTGTTAACTTAATTACACTTAGAAAAACATCAAATCATGCAATTTGACAGGGGGGTGTTCAAACTTTTGCATACAACACTTTTTGGCATACAGACTGCCAAGTCGAATGAGGGTAAGAAGGTTGCATCCCACTGCTGGAACATTTGAGTCTGAATCCCATTATGGCCATCTCTCCTGTCAATCTACAGTGATGCTGACCAATCGTGGGCATCTGTCAGCTCAGATGCACTGAACCTGGCCACCCGCGCTGTCCTCCAGGAGACCTCACCTCTCCTATAACCTTGCATGAGCAGCGACTGGAAAAGATGTGATGTCTGTCTTCATGTGTCTCAGAGGGAAGACAGAACTCTCTCTCTCTCTCTCACTGGGCCATGCCACACAAGAGGGGCAGCAGGGGCAACTGATGACACCCAGTGCAGAAAAAATGTATTTCTGAAGTAAACGCTGTGCAGCCATGTGCCTGCAAGGCATTATTACAAATTTGGCAACAATCTGGAATGAAATGTTGCTTGAAATTGTGCTACAAAATTTTGTTTTGGGACTTCCAGTGTGCTTAGCTTAGCATCAGTCAGCCAAACAGGACATAAAGATGAATCTTGTGACTAGCTAAGCTTAGATATTTTGTGAAAGCAGCGATTTTGATTGCATAAACAAAAAAGTCACAGTTTCAAACTTGATACTGACCTTCAGTCTTTAATCATGACAGAGGAACAGAGGACACTTTTAATGGCTGCTGTAGGTAATTATTATTCAAGATGGAACTTACTTTTAGAAGCCACTGATTAGGCCATAGCTCAGGGGTCGGCAACCCAAATGTTAAGAAGAGCCATTTTGTCCATTCAACAAAAATCAAATCACTTTGGGAGCCACAACACTATGTACATTTTACCATATTGGCTGTATATATGTTTCAGTATGTGCTAATGTCAAACAAAAAAAGATAATGATAAACAAAAACCCAGACTTACTTTGCTCTGCTTTAAGCTTTAGCTCAGCTATAGCTCCTTTTCTCGCATCTCCAGCAGGAAACTTTTCCACAAAAGTAGAATAAATTCTTGCAAAATGGTTCTCAATGTTCGAGGCTGAAGTCGCTTCTCATTCACCAGGTTCTTGTTCTAATTTTCCCGTTCCCCCTTAAATGGAGCCTGAGACACCAGAGTGTAAACGCCAGCATTAAGCCAGCATTCTAAACTCCAGGGTTTAGGACCATTTATTGTTAAAACTGTGTTGAACGACCAGCAGAGCTTTATTTTACTGCAAAGGAGGATTATTTTATTTTTACCTAATAATCTAATTCTGCTGTGGAGCCACAACAGGGGAGTAAAAGAGCCGCATGCTGCCGACCCTTGGGTTAGACATTTGCTTCTGTATTATTAGCTGCATTATGTACTTTTTACAAAGAATGAATTTCTTAGGAAGATGCCAAAATAGCCCTTAACTTGTACCTAACGGCCGTTCTGACTGGAAATCAAATGAAGAGTGGTCTCTGACTTTTGCACAGGACTTTATATTCGTGGGTAACACTGCTGCACTCTAAACAGCAGACTAGGGTTTAATTCCTCGCTCAAGCAAGAACATCCCATTAAACCAATAAGAGTCCCTGGGCAAGACCCCTAACTCTGCCTTCGCCTACCGCTGTTACATGATTCAATTTTAAGTCAATAAGGATGCTTAAATGCATAACTGTAAGTGCAAAGTGGATCTAGCAAGCTAACGTTAGCTGTCTATGAACCAAATAGGTTTAGGTAGCAAATTCTCTTTGTTTCTGACTATGTAGTACAAAAAGTGATCAGAGATTGGAAATAAGAAGGAGAATCGAAAAATACCAGATACAAGGCCCACCCAGCTCATCCTCCACGTTTCAGACTATGAAGCACTTAAAGGAAAAGACATCATAATGAAAAGTGGGAAACAGGACCATCTGACGAGCACGTAAAGACAGCAGCACACACTCACCGATGTCGCCCTCGTGGTAGATGACGGAATGGTAGGGCACGTCCCGATCTTTGAGGTATCGCTCGGCCGGCTCCACGTAGTACGTGCCTTGATAGCTCTGAATGAAGCCTTCAAACTTTCCATCCACGATGGAGCCGTGAGTCAGGCTGCCTTCCTCTCCTGAGGAATAAACACACAGGTTAGGAGGGGAAAACCTGAGCTATGATGGATATGAGCAGGTAAGGCTGAAAATATTAAATTGCAATTTTCTGACCAGTATTGCGATTGTAATTTAAATGCCATTATTTTCTATAAATTAAATGTCAGGCTTTTCCCCCCCTCAAGAAGACCAGTACATCAAATTTTTTAAGGCTTGAGGCTTGAACACTGCCCCCCTCCCCCTTCTCCCCCCCCATCATTCAATGCAATGCTAGTCAGCGCAGGCGTCTGTTAGCTGAAGTAACAGATCTGGCCGTTGCCGCTTTCCTCAGAGCGCGTTCAGCTGTCCAGTGACGTTGCGTGAGCGGCATTTCCAAAAAGGAAGCAGTGGCGCTTCACAGGTCTCAGAGAAGCCTGTGTTAGCCTTCACTCTCCTGCCATTGATAGTATCGTGTGATCGGGGGAGTCCTAACTAGTATTTGGAGTTGCGTCTGGAATTGGAGACGACTAAATTGGGGAGAAAATTGGGTAAATATTAATAAAAAAAAATATATATCCTGACCTAAAACTTAAGACAGTGTTAAATAATACAGTATATAATTCAAATTGCTGCTCTTCCAATTTGAAAACTGCTTTCTTTCATACTGCAATTTCTATATAAAAAATGATTAATCGTTTATCTCGAAGTTTGTCTGACATAAAGGCCGCTTTTCCACTATCGGGCCAAATGGTCCTCAGGGCCGTACTGGGCCACTCCGCTCTGGTCCAGACTTGTGAGACCGGTTACGGTTTCTTTTTCCATCACTTAGGAATTTAATTGAAATTTTCCATCACATAGGCCATAGAAACCTAAACTGGGCCACCGACAGGCAAGTCTCATGGACACAGGTCTCGCAAAGCCAGACTTTTGGTGCGTATCACAGCTTAACGTGACAAAGAACTGCCAACTTTGACAGGAACTGACTGACTGACATGTCTGACTGACATGCAAATTTACCAACCAGACTGCTGTTTCTGCATGCTGTGTAGGTGAAGGCTACAAAACAGACACACAGGAAATGAAATGCAAGGATTTCTTGTTTACAAGCTCGTAAAACTGCTGAATAACATTTACAGATATACTTAGTGAACTTCTGTTTTTCTGTCCAGCTTTATCTCATCTCAGAAAACTCTTCATGGCGCAAAACTGCAAAACTGTGATTCCCACCAGAAGATTAACAAACACATGGACACACCGACAGCCAGTGAGAATGGCCAGCTTAGTGTCTGTAGTAGATATCAGACAGAAATGAACACTTGTTGCTGCGATCAATTAATCTATCGACTAGTATTTAGTCATTCAACTAACTGAACCTTTCTGCCCTCTGTGCCTTTATCATGTAAAAGTTCTGTCTTTGCAACAGTCAGTTTCTTCTTTATGGTGCAATGAAGCAGAAGCCATATTGCGTCTGTTCTGTATTTTATATATATATATATTTTTATATATATATATATATATATATATATATATCACACACACACGTATATACACACACAATGTTTCAAAACGTACCACCCCCAGTCTATAAAGTCCATATATATATATATGACATTTTTAATGAACTGTTCTTGTGATGTCACAAAAACCAACACATATACATACGTCCACCGATTCAACCTATAGCACTTCAGCTCCACCCGTTCACGCTGAAGTTATAAGGAGTGTTTCAGCCCAGACTGCTTTTTGAACGAGGCACAAAACAGAACAACCAATCAGAACAGAGCACATTTACATCTATCTGTCTTAAAGAAACAGAAACAAAAGCAGATGACGGAAAATGGTCTGGTAAAATGAATTACTGTTTTTGACACATAAACACACACAAATTTTGTAAAATACCCAACGCAAACAGACAGTCAGACTGAAGAGGCTTCTCTCAGAGACTGCTTCATAGTATATCCTCCTCTCTCTCTCTCTCTTTCTCTCACTCACTCTCTCACTCCCCACTGACCTCCAGATCCGTCTCATAATGACTGCTTTAATGAGCTCCATAAAGCCAGCTAACGTCAGTGATAATCAAAGCAGAGCTGCTTATTAAAAACAAAAGGATATGCCTCCTTCCTTCTCTCTCAGACTTTCTCAGCAGATGGGTCTTAAACACTTTAAAGTGGTACGGCGAAGCAGACAGTGAGGCTTACTGAGCTGTGCCTGGACAGTGGGCTTTGCTGGCAGGAACACAGGAGGCCTCTTGTAGTGCTATCAGTCTGCAGAGTGCTATCTGTTCACAGCTCAGTGTGACAGCCTAAAGCAGGAGTGTCCAACTCAACCACTAAAGGGGCCATGTTAAAAAATCTCATCAAATCTGAGGGTCAGAAAAAAAAAGGTTTTATTTCATTTTTAAATATTGTTGTGCTGTAACCAGAACTGGCCATTGTTTAGTCAAGATATGCAAAAACTTCAGTTAGAAAGACTTTTGGCTCATTTTCTGAGCTGCTGAGAAAACGTTACATGTTTATGTTGGTTGAACTGCAGCTGAAATGCAGCTAGTGTGTTTGGTGATATGACTGCTGTGGAACTGTGTAGAACTGAGGTGTAACCGCATAGACTGCTGTTGAGGTGGGAGAGTCAGAGCGCATTTTACGTTGCAGTGCATGCTGGGGACTATAGCGCAGCGCACTGTGAAACAGGCTAATTTCAATTTTCTATTAATATACTTTTAATTTTACAATACACAAGGCCCGCAGGCCAGATCAGGCCCACAACACAATCCTATCCGGCCCGCAGGCCTTGTGTTTGACACATGAGGTCTAAAGGAAAAGAAGAAATGGCCCCAAACGCAGCACAGCCAAGGGAAGTTTCCTCCGCTGACCCGTAACAGATCAAGCCTGGAAGTCTTTTCTCATGGCAAAAGGACCTTAAATCAGGCCACATCCTACTTTTTTCCTTTTTCTACATTTTATTTTGTCCCCTGAAGTCTATTTGTGATGTTTGTGTGAGTTTACATCCCAAAAACAGTTAGAATAAGTTACAAATTATTCACTTTTACCTCTCTTTATCCTCAGAATTAAACAGGTACTGTTCTGGAACAAATATATCTCTACAGAGAACACACTTCAACATGGCATTTTTCTGTTCTTTCTCGTTCTCTTATTTTCTCTCTCAATCTACCTTTATTTATCTACCATATTATTTTATTTATTTTTCTTCACTTATTCATTCACGTCCTCCTGCTGGAGTTCTCTGTCCTTCATAAAGCCAGTACCATGAGGAGCAGAGCAGCTCTAATTCCTCCCACTCACCTTCACCTCCCTTCCTCTCTCTCACTTTTTCCACTCCCTCCTTCCAGAATGAATGGAGATCAACAGGAAACTGGGTGTGCAGGTGGACCATGCCAGCGGTCAGCAACAGAGACACCATTTCAGCCAAACAGTTCAAAACATCCCCTCAGCTAAACCAAATGGCACCAGGCTGAGATAAAAACTACACAGCACAGATATCTGCTTTACGCTGCGTTCGCTAGGGCTGCCTCGAATGATTACATTACATTTCATTAAAAACGTGTATAAAAACACTATACTGCATAAACAAATGAGTCTGTCAACAAAGCTCCCACTGTTTCTTACTGCAAGACATCAAACTGAACGTCTCACCAGCGACAATCAGTGTTTTTGTCCCCTTTACCCTGATTAAAATCTGTTGTAGGTGCCACGGACGCACATCCACACTGGTCATGATAAAATGGATCAGCATTTGGAACTGAAGAATTGTGTGAGATGCCAAGTTTTTCTATCAAAAGTGCCCACATTCAGAATTCACACTGCTAAGGAAACGCATATCATTGAGTGCGTTTACATGCACTTAATAATCCGATAACTGATAATCAGATTTTGTCAGTAATCCGATCAACATGAAAACTCAGGCCCTAGATGAGTCAGACAGTAATCGGATTTCTGCTTGGCAACCGGCCAGTAAACTCACAGAAGACGACGTGACGTAAACGTAACATAATACTCGAACGCCGCTGCTTTTTTCTTTTTTTAAAACACTTTACCTGAAAAATGTAAACCTACAACATCTAGAAGACGAAGAATATTTAAATCTTTAATTTCGTGTTTGGTTTCAGCGTCGCTCTAAAAGTTTTTTTTTGCCATCTCGTTTTAGCACTGCTTGCTTATTTCCAGTACCGCTGGCTGATTTTGCACATGTGCAGACTGAGAAATCCGAAAGAAATCAGAGTAAGAGTTTACATACACTGAGAAATCTGATTACTGAGCTAAAATCCAGCTCTCTTCACCAGATTTCTTAATCAGATTTCTAGATCAGAGTCACACGACTATTTGAATAATCTGATAACTGCAGAAATCCGATTATGATCGGATTTTTGAGTGCTTGTAAATGCAGTCATTGATAAGCTGAATCAGAGTAATAATAAAAGTCCACTGAAGTGTGATGTATAGAGATATTCATGTTTGCTTGCACAAAATTGTAATTTGTGATGTAAAGAGTCTAAAAATCGACAAATGTCCTGCTTTGCTAGATCACTTTCTTTACATATCAAATAAATGCAATGACAGCAGTGAGCAGTTAAATGACTGATGATTAAAGAACAGCAGCTGGTTAAATGGCACTATTTATTAGTATATATTAAATGGGCCTCACAGCCACTATTTAGGGTTGCATCATTGTGCATCCTGCCAAACACTGAATCACAGTAAAGAAGGAAGGTTTAATTGATTTTAAATTGAGTAATTAAGCTTAATCAATTAATCATGACTGTATTCATATAAGGCAGTAAAATAACTAAATAAATGGTAGGAATACATCATAAACTGTACTGATTGACCATGAACTGAAGCCGATCAAAGAATCCGACCCCCCCCCCTCTCTTTCTCTTCTAAAGCAGCAGAAAGAGCGCTGAAAGGCATGGAGGAACCCTGTGGCTCCACTGATGACTATCACTTCAGTATGAAAAGCCCAGAGAGGAGATGCTATTGAAAAGGAAAGCGATGGCAATTTTAGGGCCAGATTTAATAGAACTGTTCCAACTGTTTGCACTTGCTATTTCAATAACACAATCAGTGGCTGGAACACGACTAACGCTCCAGCCAATCTCAGGCCATCTTAATAACTCTGCGCCAGCTCTGCACTCTGGCATCTACTAAACGCTTAAATCAGGCCTGTGATGCAGAGCGAGGCGCTCACGCCGGAGCGCATAGGAGACGTTCATTCTCAGGAAAAACGCTCGGCTTCCCATTAGAGACGAAATGGAAAGAACTGAACTGCTATTCTTATAGAGCACACAGAGAGAGAGAGAGAGAGAGAGAGAGAGAGAGAGAGAGAGAGAGGAAAGTAGGAAAGAAAAAGAAAGAAAATAAAAGAGAGAAAAACAGAGAAAGAGACATAAAAAAAGAAATATACAACAGAAAAGGGAGAAAGCGATAAAAAGAAAGAAACAGAAAAGAGAAGAGAGAAAGTGAGTGACAGAGGGAAAGAGAGGGATAGAAGGAGTGAGAGAAAGAGCTAGAGGAAAGAAACAAAAACAGAGATAGAAAAATTAAGAAAGAATATAGAAAAAGAAAGAAGGAAATAAAGAGGAAAAAGGGGAAAAAGAAAGAAAGAATGAATGGAAGAAAGAGATAAACAAAGGTAGATAGACAGACAGACAGACAGACAGACAGACAGATAGATAGATAGATAGATAGACAGACAGGCAGATAGATAGATAAAAGAGAGAGAAAGTAAAAGAGCAAGAAAGTGAAAAAAGAGAAAATGAGAGGGAGAGAGAGGGAGAGAGGGAGAGAGGGGGAGAGAAAGAGGGGGAGAGAAAGAGAGGGGGAGAGAGGGGGGGAGAGAGGGCGAGAGAGAGAGAGAGAGAGAGAGGGGGAGAGAGAGGGGGAGAGAGAGGGAGAGAGGAAGGGAGAGAGGAAGGGAGAGAGGAAGGGAGAGAGAGAGGGAGAGAGGAAGGGAGAGAGGAAGGGAGAGAGAGGGAGAGAGAGGGAGAGAGAGAGGGAGAGAGAGAGGGAGAGAGAAAGAGAGGGGTGGGGGGGGAGGGATAGAGAATGAGAGGGGGAGAGAGGGGAGAGAGAGAGAGGGAGAGAGAAAGAGAGGGGTAGAGGGGGGGAGAGACAAAGGTGGAGAGAGAAAGGGAGAGAGAGGGGGAGAGAGAGGGAGAGAGGAAGGGAGAGAGGAAGGGAGAGAGGGAGAGAGAGAGGGAGAGAGAGAGGGGAGAGAGAGAGGGAGAGAGAGAGGAGAGAGAGAGAGAGAGGAGAGGAGAGAGAGAGAGAGAGAGAGAGAGAGAGAGGAGAGAGAGAGAGAGAGAGAGAGAGAGAGAGAGAGAGAGAGGGGAGGGGAGGGGAGAGAGAAGAGAGAGAGAGAGAGAGAGAGAGAGAGAGAGAGAGAGAGAGCAATTAAAAAAAACAACCAGAATTTCTTATTTTCATGAAAGTAGTTGATATTTTGTGCGCTAGTCTGAAGAGTCTGGTCCACATTTCTCCTGGACGCCCCCAGCTGGCACACAGACGTGTCAAACTCCAGCACCAGCACACTTGATTTAACATAATGCAGTATTGACAAAAACAAAAACACTCTTACATTTTAATGTAAGTCAATGTAAAGAGATTTTATTCCAAGTGACTTTAGAGCATTTCTATTGGTCCACTCATCATGAAATCTTTACACAACGTAAAGGACAGCTGGTGTGTCGGAATGATGTAGAAAACTAAAAATCGACAAAACTGGAGACACATGGTTTTCACTGGACAGCAATGATATACAGAGAGAAGGAGAGAGAGGGAGAGAGAAGGAGGGCGGGTAACAACTCTGTCATTCACAGCTCCCATCTGACTGAGTTACACCTCACAGGAAAGGGAAGCAATGTGAGTGTCTCCATCCCTCAGTGTAAACACACACACACACACACCACACACACACCACACACACACACACACACACACACACAGATCTCTGTTCCAACTGAATAAATTCTTGGATATCTCATCAAAAACAACAGCCCACTACACAAACAACTCCACTACATCTCTCTCTCTATATGTTTCTCTCTCTCTCTCTCTCTCTCTCTCTCTCTCTCCCACGCAAGAAATAAACTCACAAACAGCAAATAAATAAATTGGATTGAAGATGTGTTTCCGTGGTAACAATTGAGAATGCGAGAGGTGGAGTGGTGGGGGGTTTACGTGTGTGTGTGTGTGTGTGTGTGTGTGTGTGTGTGTGTGTGTTCTCTCACCAAACAGCTCTCCTGTGTAAATGTGTGAGGTGTCGTACGGCGTCTCCTCTCCGGAGATTTCCACCTTCAGATCAGGAGCAAACAGAGAGGTATCCCTCTTCATCCGCAAGTTAAAATGCCTGAGAGAGAGAGAGAGAGAGAGAGAGAGAGAGAGATAGAGAGAGATAGAGAGAGAGAGAGAGAGAGAGAGAGAGAGATCAACTTTTACACTTCTATGTACAAGACAACGTCATTTGCAACTGCCTGAATATCCAGAATGGTCACTAATGCAGACTGACTGTGTATTAATGCCCTATATTTTTCTTGCGTCTCATTTTTTCCCTCCTCCAAACACCACTTACTACATTTGTGCAGGTTTATTTAGCAAAAACAGCCAGAATTCAGTTTATAATTCACCTCTTTTAATCCCTTAGACTTAAACAGACTGTTTTTGTTACTCTGCCTTTAACACTGATTTGTAAATGAACTCTGTTCTGATTGGTTGCCTGTATCGTGCCTCAATCGACAAACAACCTCAGCCGGATGTGTGAATCGTTTGCAGGGCTATAATGATCTGTTTGCTTCCTGACAGCCTGGAACAGCTCTATGTTTGATCAATGTCCTACTCCGATAACGACAGACTGTCAGCAGGAACAACACACTAATAACTCTGTATGAATGGGCGGGGCTTTACTACTGTGGGCAGTCCTATATAAATATGATCATGGCTGTGACATCACAACTACGATGAGTTTAAAACAGGCAATTTTTGCAACTTAATTTCCATGTTTTATTAAAATGTTTTGTGCAGAACTGTGTAGAACTGAGGTGTAACTGCTGTTCCATATATAGTTGTTGGGGTAGGAGAGTCAGAGCGCACATTACGTTGCCGTGCATGCTGGGGACTGTAGTGCAGTGCATTGTGAAACGGGCTATTAATAGAAAATTAAAACACTTTTGTGGGCCGGATAGGATTGCGTGGCGGGCCTGATCTGGCTCTTGTGTTTGACACATGGGATATTAGACAGTACTGATAAGCTGGCCTTATTTAACACTGTGTTTTCTCTTTTACCCGGTTTTCTCCCCAATTTAGTCTTTGCCAATTCCACCTGCTAGTTATGACTCCCCCAATCACACACGATACTATCAACGCTAGGAGGGCGAGGCTAACACAGGCTTCCTCCGAGACCTGTGAAACCAGCCACCGCTTCTTTTCGAGCTGCCGCTCACGCAACGTCACTGGACAGCCAAACGCGCTCGGAGGAAAGCGCCAACCGCCAGATCTGCTACGTCAGCTAACAGACGCCTGCGCTGACTAGCATCGCGCTGAGTGATGGGGGAGAAAGGCAGCCATCCCACCCACCCAGAGAGAGCGAGGCCAATTGTGCTCTCTCGGACTCCCGGCTACGGATGGCTGTAGCATCACCAGGGATCGAACTCGCGATCTCCTGATGATAGGGCCAACGCTTAGATGGTTGTGCCACTTGGGAGCCGTGTTTTCTCTTTTACAGGTACCTGCAACCTGGGTCCCACCTCACCTGGATCCCCCTGGACCTCAGGTAAGTAGAAGTTTAGATTTAGTCCATTAAATGTCTGCCACAATAAAAGTCACCTTAATGTCCACGTAGGCAGGAGGTGAACTACAGTTCTGGTGGTGTGTTAGCATATCCTAACATCATTACACAAACTGACTGAAATGTGAAATATATTCCTATTCATGAATTTTCTTGCTCAGAAAAGTAGTCAGTGACACTAAAAAAAAATAAATAAAAATCTACACCTTTTTGGCTTTGCTTTCTTACATATCAAATAAATGCAAAAAGCATTATTAGATGTGCATTCAGACTAATTTCAATATTTGAATATTGATGAGAGTTAACAAATATATATGTGGTTCACTGCAGGTTAAAATTCAAAAAATGGCCAAAACAAACAAACAAACAAACAAAAACTTCAGCTCAAATTAATGTAGGACTGCAGGGCTAGCTTTTTAGGTGTCAGCACTGGTGTTGCACAAAAAAACAAAAAATCAGCAGCATCCAGCGGAATATCACTGTTTTAAAAACAGCCAAGAGAAAGGACCTGGCTAACATCAGCTAGAGTAGTTAGCCTAGTTAGCAATAAAGCTGTCTGACTTTTCAATCATGTATTTAACAACGCTTCCTTGGCAATAAGCTTAGCTCTGTAGCATAATATACATACTCATTCACTAACACAAGCACACTCAGTCTGTACACTGTCTTTGTCTTTCTGTGATGAAACTTAACAAATACCCAAATATTGATTTCATTATTCTAATACTGGCACCTCAAAACGGTAGTCGAGTACCCTTGCACCCAATGTTAACAAAGAGGGGCAGATTAAGCAGCAGATATATCCACTTATTTGCTTTAGTTAAAAGAAAATCAGCACTGTTATTGTAAATATGTAATTTACTGAGTAATTTACTGATTATTATGATGATTCAATCAAACAAACTGAACAAAAACTACTCATATCTTTCAAAGACTCCAAGATATCTCACTGGAAGAAGACAAAGTCAGGAGCCTTTAAAAAGAATATAAAAACACTATGTGGTGAAATATGCATAAAAAGTATTAATCTACAGGCTCTTTTCCTCCTGTAAGAGAGAGCAGTATAAGAATTTAAAACATGCTGTATTATTGAGCAAAATGTAAACAAAAAGCTTATAAGTAACTGTGACGGCCCTAAAGAACACACCTCAACTGCAGAGACTGGTTTTGTGATTTGGGTCAAAACATGATCTGTTTCACAGCTCTGCTCCAGAAAGCTTTGGCAGGGAGTGGATCATTCTCACTTCCCAGAATTACGCTGAAAACATTATAAGACTACATTTCCCATCATGCACTGACTCATCAGCTGGCAGAAGAAGGGGTGACTCAGCAGCATCACACACACGCACACACACACACACTCTGTCAATGTTTAATACTATGTTTAATAAACCTATTCAATCACAATGAGGAAAAAAATAATATTAATATTTACCTCCTGGAGAAATCTGCAGTGATTAGCTGTCAGTTTACAGGATGATGAAGCTCATTTTAAATTCTACTGCTCACAGAGCCTGACGGATGCATCCATTTATATGCATTTTTTGCTACACAGTGTGTTTATATGTTTATTTTAATGAAGCTTAAAGTATTTTAGAATCTTTAAAAGGCTCTGCATGGTCTGTTATTGATCGTCTCTGTCTTTCTGTGATGAATAGTGATTTTAGTATTATAATACTGGCACTTTAACTGGTACTTGAGTACCCGTGCACTGGTGATAAAGAAAAAAAAAAGAGTGGATTAAGTAGATATATCACTGTTGTCATAAGAAAAGCTCGTATCTCCAAAATGGTAACTTTACAGGAGAAGGAAAAAACCTTCTTTACTTTTAATGTAAGTCAATGGAACCAGACTTCTTTACAAATAATTTTTGGCCATTTCTTTTTGTTCAGTCATCATGAAATTTACACCCAGTGTAAAGGGCAACAGGCATTTTCAAATTACGTCAAAAACTGAAAAACAACAAAAATGAAGATATGAGCAGCGACATCCACTTATTTGCTTTGGTTAAAAGAAAATCAGCGCTGTTATTGTTTAAAATGTAATTAACCGAATAATCTACAGATTATTCTGATGATTAATCAAACAAACTGAACAAAAAATCTCCAAGGTCAAAAGACTCCAAAGTATTTCAAAAATCCAAAATTTCTCCAAAGACTTCAAAATATGTGCACTCGTCATTTTAATGAAGCCTAAAGTATTTTAGAATCTTTTAAAAGGCCCAGTCTGGTCTGTTATTGATTGTCTCTGCCTTCTGTGATGAAAGATAACGAACACCCATACTGGTATTAAGTTTATTTTTTATTGTTTGGCCTTTTTTTAAAAACTATACTACATTTTTCCTGGATTTTCTCCCTCCAAGAGGTCCACTTAAAACATTTGTGTGGGTTTATGTACCAAAACTGATCATAATTCATTGATGACCATTTACCAACCTGTTTTGATCACTTAGAATTAAACAGCCTGCTTTTGTTTCTGTTCCTTTATGGCAGATATATGTAAATGAGCTCTGTTCTGATTGGCTGCTCTGTATTGTGCCTCATTATAAAAGCAGTCTGGGGAGAAACACTCCTTATAACTTCAGCATGAGCTAAACTGCTGCAGGTTGAATAGGCAGACGCATGTATGTGTGTTGGTTTTTGTGACATCACAAGTACAGATGATTCAAAATTTCATATATATATATATATATATATATATATATATTTTACTATACTTTAGGGACTGGGGATGAATGGCAGTTACTGTGACTTTGTATGTGACTGACATATGTAGATGAACTCTGTTATGATTGGCTGTCCTGTATTTTGCCTCATTCACAAAGCACTCAGGGCTGAAACACATGCTAGAACTTTGCACTAAATGGGCGGGGCTAAACTGCTGTAGGCTGAACAGGTGGATGCATGGAAATAAGTCGGTTCTTTAACAATGTTTACATATTACTTCAAACTTCTTCACGTATAAAAAAGCAAGGGGAAATCGGTTTTGCATGATATGACTGGTAAAACACTTGATTACTAATATAATTAATAGTGACAACTTCTACTCTGTTCACCATTCCAGAGCAGAAGTTATTACAATAGATTATGTCAGTAATCAATTAATCTATCCATTATTTTGAAAATATATTAATTACAGAGGATAAAACTGTGAAACTACATTAAATTATAGACATAAATGATGATTCCAATCACACACTGCATGTTTTTAGTGCTGGTTGGGAAGAAGAATCAGCAGCGTATGATGAGCTGTGAAGCGTCTCAGTGTGTTGTGAATGATTCTGCTGCTGGGTGTCTGCAAATGAACGCAGGGAGGATTAATGAGGAACACAGTCGTTGAGTGCAAGGGATCAGCAATTTGTTTTGTTGACAGTAGAGCCACATGCACACGCGCACAGCTGCATTAATAGGCCTGAGCCTCGTGTGCAGTTAGTTGTATTACTGCAAGTCTGACACACCCCAGGGCCAGATTTACCCACCCTGCAACACAGCTGAGCCCTCTCAGCGTGGGGGTGGGTGTGTGGCTGACAGAGGGTGTGTCTCTAACACACACACACACACACCAAA